CTCTACCAGGCCTCACGCCCCCACTAGGCTAGGTCACAGAGTTGCGCCACCTGGCTCCGGCTCCGGCCAACGTTGCTCCAGCATCGGTCTTCAAGGGCCACCGRATTTTCAGCCACCCTACGCAGAATCGAGGGTGAAATGCCAGATAACACCTATTCCTACAATTCTCCTTGMGAGACAAGCCAAATTAAAGAAWGCTAAACTARCTGTGCTAATATTGAGAGATCRCCCCTCCCTCCCCGTCCCCCTCCSCCCTCAGCCCTGTACTGCCTCCGCCGAGGTGAGTCTCCCACTMTCCCTCGGCCCCAATATAGGASCAATCCTCTACCCTACTGTTCCCCAAGGAGCACGCAGTTCCCACCTAAAGCGTGCCCCCCCAACCCTTACCCATTTCTGCCTCCGCTGGGACAAACAGCCCCTGCCCCAGAATAGGGCAACCCCCTGCTCCGCCCCTACCTTCTTTGAGACATTCACCCCCCACCTTGTGATGCCTCTGCAAGATAGAGCTCCCCCCGTCCCCTACTTTCTTACCTGTAGATATGAACAGCAATCACCACCATGAGGGACGACCGTCTAATGATGACAAACTAATGAAAGTATTGATGATAATCAATGTGAAGTAAGTGATACTACAAACTGGTATTGATGATGATTGTGACGAAGGATGATAATAATATCGGTAGTGATGATTATAGTAAATGAATAAAATGAGAAAGATGATGATGATGATAATGATGATAATGTCGATGATGACTAATCTGAGAATGATGATGATGATGACAGTAATAATGGTGATGACACTTATGATGGTGCTCCTGATGCTAATGATAAAATGATGATGGTGATGCTGCTGCTGCTGCTGCTGCTGATGATGATGATGATGGTAATGATGACTATTCTGGTGATAACGCACAGCAGCCTGCGCTAACTGAAAATGACGATGGCACTAATGACCGGATGATGACTATTCTGGTGATAACGCGCAGCAGCCTGCGATAACTGAAAATGACGATGGCACTAATGACCGGATGATGATGATGATGATGGTGATAATGAAAGGGGCGAACAGCGCCCATGATGTGGTTACAATGAAGTGCCGCGCAGCACCCCTACTCACGGTGTTAAAGTTTAGACTTACCCTATTAACCACAATGAAGGCAGTGATGATGATGAGCAAACCCCGATGATGATATCTGTCATTTGTAACACGTTGCTGTTGATGAAAGACCTCTCCCTGTTGCTTGGTACTGCTGCTTGTATGGCGCGAAGACGAAGACAGTCCCAATCACCCAACTCCTTATCCCCCTCCACTCCTCCTCCCATCTCATGGGACACACCAGTACTCTTCTCCCTCTTGCTGCTGGCCGACCTCCTCCACCAAATTCTGCAAGATGAAGAGCACAGGTGATTCCTCCCGAAGCGAGACCCAATAAAAAGCCACACCCCGCCTCACACGGCACGCTAGCCCCCAGCATCGCCGTGAGAGGCACAAGACGGCGAGATGGCGCTACAAACGCTTTCAAATGTCAGGAGATAGAGAGTTGGATGTTCACCCGTCGCCGCGGTGTCGTCGCCGCATTTTACCGCTAAGCACCACCTGGCAATTCCACGCGCCGTCACACAACACCCCACAGCAGCACTACCCACGCACCGCGATGCCCAACATCGCCACACGTCACCGCGCAGCTGCGCTTGTCATAACCGCACCACGCACCGCGCCTTCCCACCTCTCCATCGCTCGTCGGCGAGGTCGTGTCGACGGGGCGCAGCGCCCCCAGCACACACACAAATATTCCAAGCAGCAAAAGACTTGATAACACCAGCATATCTATGAGCAACGTCGAAAGCACATTCAAAGCAGAATTTTACCAGAAGGTTCGATAAAACAACTTTTGGAAGAAGTTGTGAAAAAGAAGTTGTGAAAAAGAAGTTGTGAAAAAGAAGTTGTGAATCAGCCGTTACCGAGAACATATTCTTCGATCTTTAACGTGCGGTCTTCTTAGGCTGGGAGCAGACCAAAATGGGACCAGACTGACAGTGGTCTCTTTATAAAGAAAGCCTGACGTCTTGCCTCTACTTATCAATACAACAACAATGTAGTCGCTCTACTATGATGCAACCACCAAGACTACTCTTGTACTCTCTCTATGTATACAGCCTACTTCTCTTCTCTCGCCTCTCTCATCTTTCTGCCCACTCTCCTCTAGCCTGACAATGCTGCCATCTGATCCCCCCGAGTGTGCTCTTTGGCCATTGCCAGGTAAGTCCCTGCATGTTCCCACCGCTGTCCTACTTCGCTGATCACCCCAGCCCCAGCGCCCCTTCTTCCTCCTTGGCGCAGCTATGGCTGCCGCCAAACGGAGCAGCAGCTATCGGTGGCTGCTCCTCCCCTTCTCCTTCGTCAATGCTCAGGGCCTGGCTGAATGCGCTTAGAGTAGAGCTAACACTGGCAGCCAGTGCCTTCGGATGTGCGGAATGGCGCGCCTCCTCTCCTTCTGTCTCTTTCTGGAGTCGATGGCTATCTGGTTGGTACTGGGCTCATCCCAGTCTGGGAAGAACCTTCTATGAACCTTCCAGGCTGGGTACCTAGGCCTCAGTATCTGCAACTGCGATGCTGGGCCCACCCAGCCTGCCTTCCAATTGCGTCCCTCGCGCCAGCCTCTCCATAGGACTGGCAGAATTTTGCAGGCCCGGCCTTCACTCAGGGCCGGGTCACTTTTCCAAGGGTGCACCCTTTCGGGCAGTGCTGAAGCCTGCAGAACTCTCAAAACCGCAAAAAAAACGAAGAAGAACCGCCTCATCTCACACGTCTTGAAGAGGCGTTTGCTCTTGCGAGGCATGCAACACCTCTCAGGGCGAATGATGATGCCAAGCTGGAGGTTCTACTTGCTTGTCTGGAGGAGCGCTTCGAACTCACCGTCATGTTCTTCTTTAGCTGCCACCATCCCATCCTCCTCCCTCTGGTGCCACAGGTTCTCTGGCTGAACCCCCCTCATTGAGGATCTGATGCGATCCCTATCGCTTGGGTACGTTAGGTACAGCAGGCTGTACATGGCACAACAAATTACAGAAGGGACAATGATGCTCAATGTGAGGCCTTTGGAGAGAGCATTGGCGTTGATATCAACAGCTAGCTTCCCCGCTCCTTGGGCCGTCTTACTTGAGTCAAAACCGAACACCCCAGCAAGAAGCCCAGCAAGGGGGGCTCCGACGGACCCGATGGCAACCTCGAATGCCCGGTCATATGCGTAGATGGTCGTCCGCAGCCGTTCGGGAACAATCTCTGCCATGATGGGGTCATTGACACCAGGGCCACACCATGAACCGAACACCCCGACTAGGAAAAGGAGGATAGCATACCAGAAGAAGCCACCACCATTACGTGGCAGCACCCTGAGAATCACAAAAAAGATCGGCGCCTTGATGCCATCACTGAACTGGGCACACATCGCCCTTCCACTGTCTGGAAGCCAGCAATTCATGCAGTCGCAAACCCAGCCACCAAACAAGTAGCCCAAGGCATGTCCAAGCCCTGCGATAGCTGACAAGCAAGCCACTTGGGAATGAGAGAATATCATCTCGAAATACATGGTGTTCAAAGCCATAGCCCGCCCTGGGATTGTCCCGACAACGCCCTGAGCGATTATAACCATAAAGGTAGGGACGGTAATGACCTCCCACACCTCCTTCCAGACTTTATTCACGTTTCCGTCACCTTGTGCACTGGGGGCGACCTGAAGAGTAGGTGTGTTGATGGAGGTGGAGGTGGACAATGTGGTAATGGTTGTGAAGGAGGAGGAGGGGGTGTACGGTGATGTCGATAACATTCTACTACTGTCCCCCTCTTCTTGATTTCCTCTCGATACTGCCTCTGACTCCCCTGCTCCATCCTCTGCTCCTGCTGTTGCTATGCTCGACGGTCTCGCTGGCAAATGGACATGGTCGTCCTGTTCGTCACTGAGCAACAGCCGTAAACCACTTTCCGTGGCCTGGGAAGAAGGCATTTCCACTAACATCATGACACGTGGAGGACGCTGATTGCGTGTCTCCATATCCATGTCAGTAGGCGCATGGAAAAGCTCGTAATCGTTTGACATGTGGAAAACACTGCGTGGATCTTGGCCAAACGCTCCCATGCACAGTGCCAGAAAGCAGCTGAGGATGGCCATCACAAAGAATGACAGACGCCAGCAAGGCAAGCCCAAGAAGGTATCTTGAGCTGTGAATGTAGCTATGGAGCTTCCAGCTATGGAGCCCAAGGTCGCAAGCGTGGCGTTCAAACCGAATCCCCATCCTCTCTTCTCCTCTGCGTAGGAATCAGCCAGGATGGACTGTATGGACGGCACAACAAGTGACAACCCAATGCCATTCAGTCCCCGGAAGACTGCCATCTCCAGAAAAGACTGGCTGATACCCACACCTACTGTAGCGAGGCTCCAGCTCACAATGCCTGCGATGATCACATTTATCCTATTATGTCTTGTTGCCACATAGGCGGCAACAGGGGAGAACAATGCCTGGACGATACACCGAAGGAAGGTCAAGGTTCCAAGCTTCGCTGGTGAGATGCCGTCGATATTCTGCCTGACTTCAAAGAAAACAGCGGGCAAGATGACCACATCAGCAGCCTCAAGGATAGCTGCCACATGTACGAGAAGGGTCGTCCGACTCACCGGATCGGATAACCCCCCTCTTACCCTAGCAAAGATGCAGCAAGACAGTTTGAGCATTGACTGCATTGTGTCCCTGCATGTGAGGAAGCCTAGCGTAACGCGCTCCATTACGATTTTTCACTGCATCAATTTTGAAACACCAAAAAGCCATCATGATATATTGAGTTAAACTTGAGTACGTTTGCCCTTCAGGTGCATTATAGGATTTTGTTTTCCACACTGTCAGCTTCTCCATTCTGCGCAGTTGGACCTCTTGACGAGGATTTTGTTTTCCACACCGTCTGAAAAGATGAATGGGTATCACCGTCTCCGGCCAGATCAGCAGCAAGAGTTTTTCGAGTTACATGTCAATTGCGAGGCTACACCTGCTTAGCCCCTACGGGGCCCTATCTGCAACAAGGTCGGCCGCCCTAAGTGAAGGCAGGCACGACAGGCCCTTCGGGCCTCATTCTTCAGGGTACCCCGCAACGGGGAAATTCAGACAGTTGCATTGCGCCAGTTGGTTGAATGAATCCAGGCCCTGGGCCGCCTGTGTAAAGGAATGTGAAGCAGGCCCTGGGCTGGATACGGGGACCAGGCCAAACACAGGCCGAAAGCAGTTGGGCGCATGCAACCACTTCAGGCCCCAGGCCTGATCCCTTCGTGACTGGGCCTGTGCCTACTGGGGCCTACCGGAAGTTTCCTGGACTGGACGCAGGCAGGCCACTTCGATATAGGGAAGGGCCTGCCTCCTTATTCGGCATTCGGGTGCTGGCTGCATGCTGCGTGAGCGCTGCTGCGCAATCCGCTGGCTGGCTGGCACTCACGCTCTCACGGGCGAGTAGGAGGGAGCACGCAGCCATAGCCAAGCTGCGCTGCTGTATGCTAGGTGAAGCGCAGGGTGGTCCTTGGGGTGCTAGTGGCATCTGTGCGGTGTGGATCGGGGTTGAGAGTGTTACGAGAGACATACCTGGTGCTGAAGCGTGCGACATTGGTCGCCATATGCTCGTACTTCGGGAATGCTGTTGATGTCATCATTCTGCTTCATAGTATAGGTTAGATAGGATCTGCCACCTGTAGTCTGGGCGCCGAGCGCCAATAGGATATCAACTCTGGTTCGTAGTTGATGATGATGGGACTTCTTCAGCATTGTCAATTTTGAACTCTTGGTGTGTTCTTATTTGGTGTATCTCGTGATGCCAGTCTGCTGTGGTTCGAGGTCAAGACTATCTGGGCTCATATGTATGATGCTGTTTGATTGCTGAAGTTCGCTAATGCTCATCTTCCTTGCACAATTTTTTTTGTCCTTCTTTTTCATCTCTTAAAATCCTGCTGGACTTCGCATGGCCACATGCGCTCTGGGCCTTGGATCTCTTGACGAGGTTTTCCCGTATTTCGATTGCCTGCCTCAGGGATAAAAGCTATCGGGGTCTCATCGGATTTCCCCAGGAATGCCCGCCCATGTAAAGTATTTCCCTAAACAAAAACAAATTCATGGGGGAAGGTTTCCGGGAATTCAAATTCGGAGCAAGTCAGAGGTAAAGGTGGTTATGGTTGCAATGCAGGTGGAGGAGAGCAACAACTGGTACGCAGTCAGTGGGAGTGGAAGAGCAGAACGCTTTCTAGTGGGGAAGTTCTGCGGCAGTATTTCCAGAGCTTGATTCCCCGCGTTTCGTGGTAGCAAATGGGGATAACGGGGTGATTGAAGGACGAGAGGTCTGCAATACGTAAGAGGGCAAAGTGGTATAGGCCCTCTTGGCTCAGCGGTAGTTTCTGTTTGGCAATGCCCCATGGCTGGGTGAGTGGAAAGCCCCCTCATGATGACCAGAGCCCAGCCGGTGAAAAAATGCGAAGGGACTGTGCATGTTTCGTGACTACATGACGCAGTACTGAAATTCTTTGGCGTGTCAAAGAGCTTTTGGCTTTGCTTGTGGCTATTCAAGTCGCTCCATGGTAACCACTTGAGAAATGTCGCTATAGCTCTCTGCTTGAACTATATCTCACGTATCTGTATCCATTGCTTGTGGTTCTGCGTCTACCTCTAAACGCGATAGGTGAGCTACAGTTCAAGCAGAGAGCTGTCATTCAAGCCGGGCACAAGGTGAAAGTCTCAGCAAGTAATCAGATATGTGCAAGCAAGGAAGTTAGTTGAAGGTAAGGTTTCCAGCAGTTGGCACTATCCATGGAGCAAGACAGGAGTACAGATAGTCTATAAGTGAGCAGGGCAAGGTTGAGAACGGTGACACAGACTAGAAACAATGGACCATCCGGCAACTCGCCACATAGTACGTGCTTCGATAAAGGACACAGAATAGAAATAATGGACCATCTGGCAGCTCGCCACATAGTACGTGCTTCGATAAAGGACACCCAGTGCATTTCGCGAAGGGACTGCTCACTGCTGCAAGGGCAAGGGCATAGGCAGGGGCAAGGAAATCATCCGAGTAGTACGAGTACTGCAAGTTATTGACAGAATTGCAAGGAGCTTGAAGATGACATCAGGCACATGAAGGAATGGGTCAAGGTACAAGTAAAGAAAGGGCAGGGTTTAGGAGAGAGGAAGCAATCATCCGCGTAGTTCAAGTACTGCGGCAGAATAGCAAGGAGCTCAAAGATGACCTCAGGTGCGTGCAGGAATGGGTCACGGTACAAGTAAAGAAAGAGCAGGATTTAGTAGAGATGGGGAAGCAACAGGCAGAAGAAAAGGAGAGGATGGAAATGGAGCAGAGATGGAGGCAGCATGAGCAAGAAAGGGGAGAAGCAGAAGTTCGGAGGCTTCGTGAGGAATCAAAGCTGAGAACGATTGCAGCAGGTGGTCTAGTGCTACAGAGTTTTCACACGAAAATTAGGAATGAACCGCAGCCAGCTAGCTCTAGCCATGAAATCAGGTAAAAAGCAAAGGCTACCTTCTTCCCCCGAATACAATGTACGGTCATTGTAGCTGTGTATCTAGACTGAAAGATGCCTCAAATACAGCTATAATGACCGTACATTGTATTTGGTGGAAGAAGGTAGGGGAGGGGATGTTTGAGAGCTACGCAACTACTTGGCAAGGGTGGGTTGAGTCTTGAAGAGATGGACAGCGAGGCCGAAAGGCGGAAAATGGTTGTTTACGAGAAAACCATAGAGGCAGAAGAATGGAGAGAAAACTGCAGCCGCCGGGAGACGACGATGAAGGAGGGGGGAACACCAGGAAGCATGGAGCAAGAAGAGAAGGGCAGCATGGGGGAGAAGGTTCCCGATATGTGTAATTGTGCAGGCAGTATTGAATCTGTCATCAATGTAAGACAAGAGTTTGAATCCCAATGCCGCCTGATGAGTGAAAACAACTCTGAAAATTTTACCTGGGGCTGGTCAGTTGGAAGATGATATCTCAAGGCCACTCGCCCTTTAGAAAAAAAGAAAGAAGAAGAAGAGGAAGAAAAAAGAAGGAAAAAAAAAGGCTTTGTTGAGATTGAGGAGATATATTAGGTTAACAAGGAGCAGGCAGTTCGTGAGCTAGTTCGAATCCATATCAGACTCACTTAAGAGGGCTGGCTGGAAGAGAAGATTGCCGAAGACAAACCGGAGGATCGCCGACTTGACGGCATAGATGATGACAGCCATCCCTCTGACTGATGGTGGCAGCCCAGATACGGAGGGAGGGAGGGACATATTACTATGATATTAGTGAAGCTATGTGGGTTGCACGAAGAAGATGTGGGGGGTTACCAGCTTAGCAAAAATAACAACAGTAGAGACGATGCTCACTGCATGTACATTGCTACTACGCGGTGAGAAACCCCAGGCGGAAAAGGTATGAGATATAGTGCCTAGGCCCTGGGTGTAAGAAGATGTATATGGGCCCGACGACCAGGGGTGCAGAGGAGAGATTGTAAGAGCACATTGGGTGTTCAGTGTCAGGGTAAGACGGCAGGCCGCCGCTGCCTTATAAGTGGCTGGCTGTGCAGACTTCACTGGGGGGATTATGTAGGTTTTCCCGTCGCAGTAACAGGAGCAGCAGATTCGAGGGCATTGCGGAACACACTCATCAAGCGCTTCTCCCCAGCTCGCAATTGGATGGGAACCGCTAGTAGAGGGAAGTAGAGTAACAGGAAAGGCAGAAGGGAGAGGTAGGCCGTGAGTAAGGAGAGAACAGAGGACCTGCAAGGGCATAACCAGAGCAATGCAAGCACCTCATCGATTTTAGCGAGTCAGCACTATGTAGTTTGAAGCAACTGTTGGGAAAGGGAGAGGGTGTTGGTAGAAAAGACGATCAGCATTCGTAGCAGCGGAGGAAAGGTCGGGGGGCCAAGGATTGGGCCGTAATTAAAAGAACGTATGGTACCTCGACATCTGGCACAGGTGAAGCTGTGTTTGTTTCCTGAAGAAGGCGTCAATGTGGCATACTCAGTCCCACACGGGCCCAGCAGGGCCCGACCAGGTAGACTAGGGGTCCGTAGGTGTAGGGTCTGTGTCGTTTCGACCCTCAGCAGGGTCCGCAGGGTCGGTAGGCCGAGTAGGACCGGTACCAGTTTAGAGGCCCGGTAGGCCTCGTTTTGAGTACAGGCCCTGGCGCGCGTTTTGGCGCCAAGGCCCTGACTTTGAGGCAGCGCCGTTTTGGTAGGCGCGGCAGCAGCCTCAGTTTGGGCGCCAAACTTTGAGGCCCAGCCTCAGTTTGAGCGCCAGGACTCAGCAGCTGAGGCCGACCCAGCGCTACATATAGCTGGGTCTGGCCTAAGTTCCTCGTTCTTTGGGGTAGAGGATCGAGGAGGCATACTTCGGACGACAGCAGGACAGTAGTATTCGACGATAGGACTAGTCTCCCGGCGCTGGGTGCTGATAGAGTAGGGTAGCGCAGGGAGGGAGAGATGGTGATGGCGGCCTGAGGACTTGCCTGAGACTTACCTGCGTTGCCATTGCTCCAGCTTCGTCTTCAGCACGGCCGCACCTGCATCAAGGCGCCACCTTTCGCAGGTCAGTACTTGGTATAGGGAGAGAGAGAGAGAGATCTTCTCCCTCCAGTCCACCACCTTTCTTCTTCCCCTCCCAGCGCTCTGACTTCTTCGGCTATGAGAGAGAGAGAGAGAGAGAGAGAGAGAGAGAGAGAGAGAGAGAGAGAGAGAGAGAGAGAGAGAGAGAGAGATTGACGACACTTGGGATTTG